GTTCTCTTAACTGTTATGTTGACAGTGTGGTTTTTCTAAAGCAATCGTTATCAGCGTGATTTCAATTGTCTTTATGAACTTTTGGTTATGCTGCGCAGCGTAATTGCTGCAATTGCTTGTTGAACAAAGGCTTAATTTTTTGACTTAATACATGTTGCAAATGACATACTTTTGGAAAATCGATGTTGCGATCTTTATAGAAGAGATACTGGCGCGGACAAATTATAGATCTGTAATACGAGAAGAAAATATGAATGAGTAGTGTTTACAACTTTTTCTTTCACTAAATTCTGAGTTTCCGGTGTTTATTGCTATTTTCATAACAAGATTTTCAGCGAAATGATAAATTTGCTAATGTGTAAAGATTCGCTTTTGTCAGTGCTATTATTTTTGAACGTCAAGGCTTACTCTTACAACTATCAGTTTGTAATCAGTGTACAAAACTGTGTTATTATTGGATGGAATGTTTTACTGTTTACCAGGATTCATTATCGCTTTTGTATTTCAAATTAGTTTTAGATTTGTTGGTGGTGTTTTTGTACAGTGGCAGTAAATGTAAGTTTATTTAAACTTGTTACTGCTAAGAATTCTGCGTCACAAAAATAAATTTTATTTACAAAACGCTCGTTGAATTGTTTAGATTTTTTAGGGAGTTGAAAGCGATACATTGGTTACCAACTTCAGATATTTACAATCTCAGAGAGTAATTAAAAAATCTGAGATAATTTTTGCTATACTGCTGATTTCATTTTTTTTAAAAGAGGTTATTTGTGTTAAGTTCTTTTTTTGTCCTTGACAGGTCACTTTTTTTGTGCCTAAACCTTCAAAAACGTTTCAAGTAACTTCGTCTTGGTTACTTCACGATTGCTCTAGCATTTATTTCCGGAAACAATTTAAGTTTTATTTTATTTATCTTTACTTACCTAAGGGGATGGTACCGTAAAAGGACTTTTTAAGCTACTACAGAAAAAATATGAAAATTTTTCTGTGAAACCGTACACATATTGCAAAAATTCTTCCACTGTTAAGGAGAAAATAAATTTATGCAGAATCTTGGTGTAAAATAGTTCCATCATTTGCAGTATAGGCACTAATGTATGTGCTTCACCGCCTAATGTTTTAATTCATTTCTCGTACAGAGTCAACTTTTTTCAAAGAAAAAGAAGCGACATTGTCACCAGCAGTCAGCAAATGGTTTTCAGTTTTAATTCTCTTTTATCAAAAATAGCTTTCATTGTTTTTCTTTCTCGCGTATAACAAAGTTAAATGTACGATCAGCAGGAAAGCTGCGGCAGAAACCATTTTTTTACATCAGACAAAAATGTTATTTTGTTTCGAGCAGAAGTCAGTTCTAAAAATTTTATCAAAATAGTCGTTATTTGAGTTAGATATTCATCTAATTCTTGGATTACTTTACCATTAAATAAAATAAATATTTCAGTGGAGTTTCAAGAAAATCTGAAATAAAATGCCTATTTTATTTTAATTCTAGATAAAAATTTCCTATACTTGCTGTTTTTTTGCTTCTGTGTTTAAGTTTAGATAAAATAGGCATTTAATATTGGTCGTATTTTGATAGAAATTTATCTTTTAAAACGTTCAACAAAAAATACCTTACAAAAAAATATTTTTTTTATACTTACAGTCTAAAGGTCTCTATTTCTAACGATGCTTCGGTACAGCTCTTGTAGCGTAACAAGTTCTGCTAAAGGTCACGACTGTAAAAAAATCAAACCTTGTCTCGACAGTTTAAATAATTAAAAATGCAGTAAAATAGTGCGCAATTCCAAACGCAGAAAAAGAACGAATTATAGAATTATTAGAAAATTTGAACGCAAAAAGTAGACTTTTAATTGTTTCAGTTGAATATAGCCGCTGAAAGAAACTGCTGAACAGCTGACCACAAATTTCAGGTCTTGATTGTTTCAACTCCACCTGAACAACAGAACAACAAATTATTTGCTTATGGATATTAATTATCGTGAAGAGTCTTTGAGAGCCCAGGTAGTGACTATCTTATTAATTTAAATTTTTAGATAGCTTTTTAAATCATATTAAATTTAACATTAAGTTATTTTATTATTTTTAGAAGAACTGTAGCTTTTGTACTTTTAAAAAATGTTTAAGACAAATTATCTGTAAAAACAGTGGCATTTTTAAGCGTAATCTACTTATGCTGTAGTTACTCCAAAGTCAATTGCTTCAACTACGAAGAAAATCATTATTTTGACAAACAATCATGAGATGTCTGAGCAATACACATATCTAAACAACTTTTTTGAATGCCACAAAATCAGAAGGCAAAAAGATTTAATTCTTAAATGTTGATGCTACCATTCTTTATGCAAAAATCGTTGTTCTTCACAATTCCAACGTAGCTTAACTTTGAAATTATAAATGGTTTTTGAATATAACCTAACTTTTTTCTTGTCTCATTTGCATGAGTTAATGTCTCCAAAATAAAATCTGCACTAAATCACGATGAAAGACCTTTATTTTTAACAGTGGTCAGCGTACGGCTTTCTCGCCGAAAAGGTTGTAATAGTTGTGATATACAGCAAGCAAAAGATATTAACTGAGCTGCTTTATAAAAACGGCTTTTGTCCACAGTCATTCGCTTCAGTTAAGATTTCTTTTCGCAACTTTCAGAAGTGCAGCAAGTCCTTTTCTAAATTTTTCAGATTTTTGTAAGATGCTTTTTTTATACAGATTCAGCTCTGTGAGGAACCTTTCAAAGCTTGCATACCCAGGCTTGAATAAACCCGTGGTTTGTATAAATTACTTCCAAAATAGACCTCTGACAATCAATACATTGTCTTATAATCTTTCACTGTAGCTTAGAATTCAAGACCTGTTGAAGCTATATTTTTTGTAAATGTAAAATGGTTTTTGGTGAAACTGATACGGAAGCATCAGATACTAATAGCAATTGTTAAGTTACAGCTAACTTTTCGTAGATTTATTACTTTTGAATTGTTCTTTATAAGCACAGCAAGTATAGCAATGTAATTCTCAAAAAATAGACTCAAAATAAGTGAAGTAATAAAGTCTCAAGCTTATTTTAACAATGTGCTACTCGTTATCTATTCTTTTAATATGCTTTAACAGACGTCATGAAAATTTTTATCGACTGCAACCAAAGTATACATAAAAACTTTCAAGCTTTTTTTAACTCATTTTTAGCAAGAAAGTGTTTTCCAACATCGTAAACATTGTCTTCTTCGAACTGTCCAATTAAAAAATCATTCTTTCGCAAAAGGTAATTTGAAAAAAAAAAAGAAACAAACGTTTCTTAATGTCATAAACTGTATTGCACAACTAATTTTCTATAAAAATGCAAAACTCACTTTTTAAATTATAAGTTGATCATCAATACAATCTATACTTACAAGTACAGTCTATACATCAATACAATCTGTTTGGTACAATTATTTTTTAGTTTGAATGCACAAACTGTCAGAAAGTTTCAGATAAAATTAGTGAAGAAAACGTTGCTTTTAAAAAATGATTTTTTTTTACTTATTATTTAGACATTATTAATTCAAGAAGCATTAAACGAGACAGAAACGCCACCGAATGGAACCAAAATTCGCGAAATAGTTCAGACCACTCATAACGAACAGTCGTCATCAATATTTTGGACTGGCGTATTGCGATGCAACCTAAAGAAATGTCCTACTGTTTCCTGGAAATTTTGCTACCTACTCCATAAGGTCATTTCTGATTTGTTTTACTAACATGAACTAAAGAACTCACGTGTCAGAGCATTTCGCTTATGAAGTTCTGACACTTTTTCTTTTGCATTTTTGTTTGGTAACAGAAGCGTGGTTGGTTTTCTACAATGTCGTATCATTTTTAAATTTTGCTTTATCGTTTTATTTGTCTGCAGATAATTCGTGATGGTCATGCGGAAGTTCCCCAAGAAACACAAAATCATAAACAGTTTATCGTTTGTTTGAGAAATTACTGGCGAGATCTCAGTTCTTCCGTTTACTGCTCACCAATTTCTGCATACCTTGAGCTTATTGTTTCTCGTCTTGACTTTTTGGAACAAGTAAGTTTTCAATGTCACCTCTCAATAAACATTTTGATAAATTTATATAAAAGTTTTTAGAAGAAGAATTGCCGGGTTGTCACTTGAAATGCTTATCTTTGCAGACTTATAATTTAGCTCGTTTTGAATAAAATTTAATGCTTTTTTGATTTTTAGATTTGCTATGTTCTGAGTTTTTAAGTGCTCATTTTATTTTTTTTAATTTTATTGAAAAATCACTTATATACAATAAAACGAAATTTCAAACAAACATTAAAAGAAAGCAAAGTTTTAAATTTTTTAAAAAAGAGATATTTCAAAAAGATATAGTCTCCGATACCAAAAACTCGCCATCTCCAAATTTTGATACGTTGCACAGCAAAAATTCTGCACAGAATATCTCTTTTATAAAAAATCTAAGACTTGGCTTTTTTTAATGTTTGTTTGAAATTTTGTTTTATTGTATACATGTGATTTTCCAATAAAGTTAAAAAAATAAATAAGCACTCGAAAGTTCAGGTCATAACAAATTTAAAAATCGAGGAAACATTAAATTTTATTCAAAACGAGCTAAATTATAAATCTGCAAAAATAAGCGATGCAAGTGGCAAGTCGACAAATTTTGCAATTTTTGAGGGGTGTAACTTGGCGAGGAATTCATCTTTCCAGGTTTTTTTTTTTCAGCTTTTTATTTCCCAGCCTAGACTCTATAAATCAACAAAATTTGAAGAAAATCTGAGATATAAATGGAAAAAAGTGTGTAATTTGGCATGGAATGGCCAAATATATATCTGAGGAGGGGGCTCTTTCGAGCTGCAACTAGAGCAATGTCGCTGTCGTCGCAGCTTGAGGCAGTAGAGAAGACATGTCGACAGTGTCAACCCCGGTTAAGAAGTTGTGAGGTTCCCCTATCCTGCCGCAAGGATCTAAACTGTACTTGGAAATTTATAAACAGCAGTGAGACATTATGGACAGGTTTACCTTTTATAAGAATATGAAGGCAGAGCGATTAGTGAGGAGTATAGAACAGCAGTATAAGACGATCGAAACGGCGACGTCACGTCAGTGCTTTGCAACCTGTGACCAAAGTCAGTACAAGCCGTTGCCCCTATATATTTTTTTCTATACAGATTTATCCATTTAGGATCCTAAATGCGCCATTTCCATCTCATACCTTAATCTGTGACCTTGTTTAAATTTTTTAAATTATTATTACCGGTTTTTTCGCTTTATAAAGCAGAGCATATCCTCGAATGAACGCGAGATGGGTATACGACGAATTGTCTTTTCCGATCTTCAAAACATGCAGAAAGGTGTGGTTGTACACAACTGCACTGCATGGCTGCCTAATTTGAAACCAAGTCTGTCAGCACTGAAACCGTGGAATTTACCCCTATGCCCTACCGCCGTTACTGACCAAGCGTTTTAAGATGCACATAAATAATTAAAGAATCTACAACTAAGTTGCCGCTGTTCTCCCTTTCTCTTTCCTGCTGTCCCCTCACCCATTGCTTTTTCTCCTCCTCTTTCTCCCCGTCTTCTTCTCTGTCACCCTCTTCAACATTCCCGTCAAAAAGCAATTACCCGATCAACACTGGGGCTGTCAAAGTGCAGGAGGTTCAAAAAGTTTTTGCAATCCACATTTCATATATTGTCTTTTAAGTATCCAGATTTTGATGGTAGTCTTCATTTGTCAGACAAGCACTTTAACGCTTCAATAAGTGGTGAAGTAGACTATTTATATGGATGCTGCCTTGAAATGCTCGATCAGTTGGACAAACTACTGCATTTGCAATCCGTTGGTAAATAATACCTTTTTTGATTGCTCCCTCTAAAATTAAGAAGTCAATCGCAACTGAGTAGCTGGATTTTTTAGTACTTGACGTTGTTGGAAAGCCTTTAGAACGGAAATCACAAACTGGTCAGGGTCAGTGCCTGCTTGCCCCAATTGCTCTTGTAATTGTTGATGTCAGCATACTTTACCGTCATTTGCTGCAGTTTATGTTCAAACTTCGGCAAGGTAAATTTTACTTCTTGTAGTTATTTCAGCGTAAATAATTTATATCAATTAATTTTATGCTTCTGCAAATACTATTTTGTTTTGACTGTAAAGTTCAAAAAAAAATTATTCTTTTGCATGTGTTCGAACCGCACTTACAGTTCTAAGCGTTCTTCAGTCGATAATAACAGTAATTCTGAAAGTTTGTCATAATTTATTTATTTCCGCAGTAGTAACCAGTTTTAAAGAAGTTTGAAAAAATATTTTGAACGCTTGGAGTTGCTGCTTGGTGAATTAGCTGAAAAGACTTTGATTTTAGAGATTGCTGCTGACGCTTTCAGAAGTCCCTGTAACAGGTTCCACAGTGTTTACCTTGAGATGAAAGCGTTTTTTGAAACAGCGTCTACTTCGCAGTATCTTCAAAGCTTAGTTAAAGTTCCTGGTGTGCCTGAAACGGAACCTACTTTCCTCAATGTATTCTAGAGAATTTTGTTAAATTCTTTGCTTCAAATAGTTAGGTTTGGCTTTTAATTCAAAAGCTTTCAGGCATCAAGCTTGGACCACTGTTTAATTAGTGAAGCTACGGAGGTATTTGACAGTGGTGTTCGATTTGCTGGCGAAAATAAAACATTTTCTCGGGATAGTTCAGGTGCTAAAAAATCCTCACTACTTCGTCCAGAGTCATCTGTCTTACCACAGCAAATTGCTCTCCAGGGTCAGCAGTACAAGAAGTGATTATTATTTTTCTTCTTTTTTTATAGCCCTTTTTCCAGTTTTTTGAACTTTTTATATTAAGGTAAAACGCGTAATATTGCCTAACCGGCACTAAAAACAGTTTAATTTTTATTCTTACTTCCCGCTTAAATTTATTCTGCTACTGTTTTAACAAATACTTGTTTTAAAGCTTGGAGACAACACGCTTTCTCTTCATGTTTTTTTTTTAATGTGAGCATCGTTCTTCAAAGTTTATTTATGAAGTTTACACGCGTAGGTAAGTAAATTATATTTGCGAAAACGGTTGACGTAGCTAAAAATCTCACTGTGATCTTGCAGATTATTGAAACTTAGTCAAACTTGTTCTGCATGTTTTTCGCATGAAAAGAAATGTGCTTATAAGGTTTGATAAAAAACTGCTGCATAGTCTGTCAGAGAACCTTTGAAAATTTGTAAAATAGTGTTTAAATCATAGCAGAAAGTTTACTTAAAAAGTAAAAAAAAATTTTATCAAGAAGAACTTATGCTTGGCAGGAGAGGAACCAAAAGCTGTTTACTCGTAGTTTACAGTAGGCAACTAAACGCTTGTTTTATGCACTGAAAAGCGCTGTAAGGAAGCAGCAAAGATAATGAAATTTCGGAATTACATCAGCAAAAAACTACTTGGAACTTTTAAGGGAGTTTGAGGTTAAAACATTACGAGGAGAGCTCGAGGACGCACGCCGACAAAAAGAAGAACTTATGGATGACGTAATTTAAAAAATTTTTCACAGATTAACTGAAAGCTTGTCCGAAGTAAATTCTGTTTTTAGGCTCGTTCTCGGATTGAACAGTACGAAAAAAGACTGACGCAACTAGAGAAGGAAAATGATTTGTACAAGAAGAGTTTAGAGAATTTAAAGGTTTGATCGTCTTAGAAACCATTACTGCAATCAAGTAATGTTCCTGTCGCGTATAAAGTAAGTCTATTTGCGAAATGATGTTCAGCCTTCTTTAGCAAGAAAACAATGCACTACGCGCAACAAACGTCGCAAACGAAAAAAGAGCTACGGAGGAGGGGCAATTACAGTCTCAGCGAGAGAGAGAAAGCGAAATTAATGCCGCGACACTAAATCGTAATTATAGAAATTTAGAAGCGAAAT